AATGGTGTTTTACCAATGTTAGGGCACCGAAGCCATTGATCATCGAACCGGACATTGCAAGCAACTCTCTCCCCTTGCACCCCCATCTGCTTTTCATAAAGTCGGCCCATAGTCTTTTTCTATTATTATTTTTTAATCAATTTCTTTTCTTTTTTAATCCCTTTTTAAAAAAAAATTAGATATAGATTTTAATAAATTAAATTTATTTCACAATAAAAATTAATTAATTAAATCAATTTAAATTTAATTTATCAATTAAAATATAATTAGAATTAGGCTTTAATTATCATTCAATTATTTTTCTAAATATAAACACCAAAAATATTTTTTATACTTAGAATTTTTTAGGTTTTTTAGATATCTTGCCCTCTTCAATCTCCGCGTATTTATTTATATTCATACTATTATTTTCCATAATATTGTAATTGTCAAAAGTTTTTAACAGCTAATTAGGCCCCTGTATACTTCCTTTCCCCATTTTTTGTTTGTTTGTACTCCCCAACCCCCGAAGCGATGTAATAGCGCAGATTACTTTACACATTTTTACTTTCCGCACTTGTGTATATATCTAACTGTTAGATTAATTAGGCGTGCATGGCAAGACATAAAAAAACAAGCATTAGATAACCTAACTTCAAGATCAATAACTGAAACATAAAACTCTTTGCACACATGCACCTCTAGGGTGACCCTCACTTGTTGCCTTCAGATTTAAAGCAGTCACGTCTCTCGAACGTGGGACGTTTTAGCAAAGATGCTTTGGTTAAAAGATCATAATCCCTCGATGACCCTTCGGTACTTCCTCGGTAAATGAACTTAGTTCCTTAGGGTAATTGCTAAAATATCCAACAAGTTACCTTCGTGACTGTAAGATGATCCGCGCCTATCCCTCAAATATCCAATGATAGGGCTACCCACCAACTAATGGTAGGATATCACTATCTAAAGGAAAAGAGGAAAAGAACAAAGATCTTTTGAGTAGGTAGATAGCTTGTAGTTTCTTTCTCACAAAACAAAACAAATTTCTCACACATGCACTATCTTTTCTAAATAATTTCAAATACAAAAACACTTTATATGCATTCTCAACGATACGAGAATCATCACAAAGTTTGCCTCACTAAGGCATCTTTTCAAAATATTTTCAAAATACACTTACACAAAAATCATTTTCAAAGTGAGCTAGCAACTAAGAGCCCGTAGATAACTACATATGGAAAGGTTGCTAACACCTTCCCTTTCCATAACCTACCCCCTTGCTCAGAAAAATTCTCGAAAAGTCCTTCATGTTCTTTTCACCCTTTCCTTTATTGGATAAAAGAAAATTCGATGGAGACTCTTAAAAACCGCAACATTTGCGACAAAACAAAAAAAATAGTAAATTAAGTTCTCCCACCATATTATAGTATCGATAACCAATGCTAGAACCAACAGATAGAGGAACATAAGTTGAATGAGTATCAGTGACAACATAGGATGATAGAGCTCTAAAAAATTTCCTCATACTTTCAACAATTTTAGATATTGTGCTTTTCAATGCCACTTTTCCTTTATAAAACCACATTCATCGGTACCAACACTGATCCTTCCTCAAGGTTTTTATTTTCTAAAAGGATCAACAAAGACATATGGAGGTGGTGTAAGAATTCCTTTTTTTAAAATCTGAACGAGAGTGAGAATTGAGAATAAGTTCTTAAAGGAACAATTCACTAACAATTGATCCAATATCATAAAGAGGAGTATGATATGAAATACCCCCCACATAGACCTAATAAATGATCACAAGGAGCCATAAAAAATGATCTAAATGTTTTACTTCTCTTTGACTTGTATATGCTTTGATAACTTTTAATTCATGTCGATTCCATGTGAGACAATTCATCCCACAAATTAATCATAGCCGGATAAAATTCTTGAATTCACATATCATTCTATTGAAGAGCTAACACTTTCCAACTTATATCATTTTTCAAAATTAAACTGATTATCTAAATGTCCTGTGACCATCTTAGCGATATCATAGTTTGCTAATTACATACCTATTGACTAAGATACACAATCATTGATCAATGTAAGGATCTTTGAATTCCTAACATCTCATATATCTAACACTTTCACATGTATTGATTCCTCTTTTTCATTTGTACTTAACAGAGGTTCCATCAACATATCCTCACGTCCTTTTTCGGTTGAATTTTTCCTGACTTAACACCATAAGTGTAATTTTTTAATTCAATTGGACACTAATAGATTGAATAGAATAATCATCACTGGCCATTACAACAAATCAAAACACAATCCAATATAGAAAACATGTCTTACTCACAAACACATACGAATATACAATTTTTCCTCTTGTCAAGCTGGTTTCTAAGAGATTTTCCTCCTAGATGAATGGGTTTGTGAGGTTAGAAGGTTAGTTGGTTATGCTGAATTTAGCGTTGATTGTTATCCTGGTGTTATTTTTTCATTCTTGAAGATGTCGATCTTGGTTTGGAATAAGTTAGTTAATTTGAAAAGGCATTTTCTTGGGAGAGGGACGGGGAGTCAAAAGAGGGAGTGAAGGTAGTGTATGTTAAGTGGGAGGAAATGTGTAAGGCCAAAAATAAAGGAGGCTTTGCCTTCAGAGATCTTAGACTTGTAAATTTTGCAATGATAAGTAAATGAGGATGGATAATTCTTTTTGATTTTCCATCCCTTTGGGGTGATATTACAAAATATAAACATGGGTCTCAAGGTTACGAATCCTTTTTAGGAGAGAGTTTGAGGGTTTATAAGGGTGTCGCTTTGGTGGAGAGGTGTTTATCTCATAGAATCTCCTTTAGATCTTGTGTCTGACTATTTTGCATCATCTTGGTCTAATTTTGCAAGAGACGGGAAAAATACAAGGTTTTGGTATTATATTTGGGTAGGATCCACTCCTTTGAGTGTGTCTTTAGAGAGGTTATATTTTTCTCTCAGAGCAAAAGTTCCAATTGATGGATTCTTCTCCTTTTTGTGCAAGGGGTGTCTGAGTTTGAAGTTTGAGGTGGAGATAATCTTATCGAATTTGGGACGAGGAGCATCTTGAGGATTTGCTAGATCTTATCTTAGTTCTGATTAAACATGATCAGGTAAATGTTTGGGTTTGGAAGCCAAATCCATCAAGACCTTTTTGGTTTGTTTCAGGGTTAAGGAATTAAGGGAAATACGTCTTTAGGCTTGGTCTTGATTTGAAATTTTGGGGTCTAGACTTTTTAGAAAACAAACAAACTTATTTTTATTCAGGAAAGCTTGTCAATTAATTATTGGATTTCCTAAATTATTATCTTAATATGGATGTGGGTACAAGCCCATGCTCCAGGCATTGTCGTTTCTCTCATTTACTTGGAGCGAGACTCACTCATTTGGCTAGGCATTTAGGGGTGTGGTGGGTGGATAATTCTCTTCTTTTGTTTGAGTTTTGTGTTGGTGATCAGATCTTGCTTCTTATAACTTTCTCTCTCTAGATGACTGTTGTGTCTAAGGCTTCGGGTTTATCTCTTTTTTAGGAGGCAAGTTGTATTAGTCGCTTAAGAGGAGGTGGTGGTTTTCTCTCTCGTGTTTGTTTTTCTGATGTTATGTTTGTTTTGGTTGTTGTGTTAATGTAGTTGGTTTTTGGGCGGGTTTTGCATGTGTTTGTTTTGTTTTCCTTCGACTTTAGTTTTTTTATCGATTTTGTTGTTTGTGAGCACATCTTGTTCTCATGTTGTATCATGTATTCTTTAACTTCTTTTTCTTTAATATAGTTTATTGCCCGCTTACTTTCAATTTCTGTATTAACATAATTTTTCATGATTAATTGTTAATAAAAAAAATACCGATTTACTTTGCTATTAAAATACTTCTAAAATCAATTTAATCAAATATAATTAAATGACCTAGTTTTAAAAAACATAATGAGATAATAAAAACACTAAATTTTATCTAACTATATACGACTCTATCCGTATGTGTCGATTTTTATAGGATAAGTTTCAAATTTGTAACTACATTAATTATGAAATTACCAAAAAAGTTATGATTATTTTATATTTTCTGTTTAAGTACGATAAATATTAGTTCCAAAAGATTAAACAAAATTTTCTTGTAAATGTGTGCCTTTTTTAGTATCCATAGTGGTTAGTGGTGGCAGTAGTAAGTAACTAGTAAGCAGAATGAAGGCATGTTGTGGTTAATGTTGAAGACATTTATTTATAGTAATTTGTTATCGATAAGAGATGTAAAACGATTGTTATTAATAGAAACAAAAAAGAACCATAGAATTAAAAAAGGAAAGAGACATATTTAGACAATAGTTTTTTTTGGTAATGAAGCTTTGGCATTCAAGTATAAATAAATAATGTATGACCTTAGTTTATCTTCAAATCAAACATTGATTAGCGACAAGTATATAAATAAGTAGATAGTAAGAATAATAAAAGAAGACATGACGAAGTTGAGTATTAGCATTATTGTTTCATTCCTATTTCTAGCATACTTAAGCGTAGTTCAAGGACTCAATTTTGACATAACAAAATATGGTGGAACACCAAATTCAGATATTACCCAGATATTTATTATTTATTATTATTATTATTATTATTATTATTATTATTATTATTATTGAGGAAATAATTAGTATTTGATTTATTTTCTAATTGTTTCGTTTGACAAACAAGGCTTTCATAAAAGTTTGGAAAGAAGCATGTGCATCACCTGGTGCGGCTAAAATAGAGATTCCATCCGGTAAATACAGGACAAGTGGAATAGATGCTCAAGGTCCATGTAAGTCTCCAATTGAAATTCAAGTTGATGGCACAATTCAAGCACCTTCAGACATAAATCAATGTCATAAAGGGATTGATCAATGGATCAGGTTTGGAACTATGGACCATTTAACCCTATCAGGTAAGGGAATTTTTGATGGTCAAGGTGCAGCTACTTGGAAACAAGGTACAGCTGCTTGGAGCAAAAATCATAAAGTTGATAACAAAGTTTCCATGGTAAATATTTATTAATTAATATAGAATTTGAGTTTTATTTATAATTGACGGGTTGAATTTCAACAAAATTTGGGTTTTTATTTATAATTAATTGATTGAATTTCAATAGAATTTGGGTTTTTATTTATAATTCCCTGGCTGAATTTCAACAGAATATGGGTTTTTATTTTGTTAACAACTCCATCATCACTGGAATTACATCTAAGGACAGCAAAAATTTCCATTTTATGGTTTACGGCTGCGAAAATATCACATTTGATGGCGTCAAAGTTTCTGCTCCTGGTGACAGTACAAACACGGATGGAATCCACTTGGGAAAATCAACTGATGTTAAAATTCTTAATACCGACATTGCTACTGGAGATGATTGTGTGTCATTGGGTGATGGTAGCAGAAAAGTACTTGTCCAAAATGTGAATTGTGGACCTGGTCACGGTATTAGTGTTGGAAGCCTTGGAAAGTTTAAAAATGAAGATAATGTAGAAGGTTTGACAGTTAAGAATTGTAAAATATCAGATACTGATAATGGAGTGAGGATAAAAACTTGGCCATCTGGACCAGGAACACTTACTATTACTGATATGCATTTTGAAGATATTACCATGAATAATGTTAGGAACCCTATCATCATTGACCAAGAGTATTGTCCATGGAACCAGTGCAATAAAAAGAATCCATCCAAAATTAAGACAAGCAAGGTTATATTCAAGAATATTAAGGGAACTACAAAAGCAGAAGAGGGAGTGGTTCTTATATGCAGCAGTGGTGTGCCATGCGATGGTGTCGAGTTAAGTAATATTGATCTCAAGTTTAATGGAAAACCAGCAAAAGCTGTATGTTCTAATGTCAAACCTAGAGTTTCAGGAATTTCTCCTAAATGTGAAGCTTATACTCCACCTCCCTCCGGCTGATCTATTTTTTTTTTAAATTTTTCATTTTTTTTATTTCAAGAGTACTAGACATACCATCCCTACATGAGGATGATGATCATTATAGTAGTTTAGTTCATTGGAAAGAAATAATTCCACATATGTATTAGAACTATTGCCATTGTGGTATACAAATTTAATTAGTATTTATATTTTTTAATGTAAGATTTCATTTCCCGCCAAGCATGTTGGCCAAGACGGTAAAATTTGGCTTAATTTTGTTATCAATCAATTATTTTTAATAGCCAAGTAGAAACAACAATATATTACTATAAAAATTAATAAAAGTCACAAATAATACTGAAGAAGCAAATATCACCAAAAGTTCCCACGAGAAACATTTGTGGCAAAATCTTAGGACGCATAATAACACGAAAAACAAAACAACACAAATCAGGAGCATCGACATTAACCCACTTACAAGTCAAACTGATAATCGAGGGCATCCAGTGATTTTTACAAAAGTTTTTTTGAGAAAAAGTAAATTTGCTCCGCATTTTCCAAATAGTTTAGACCATAAAATGTTAGAACGAGACCAAGCATAAAGACACATTTTCCCGTGAATCTTAAAATCGACATCGGTAAATGCCCTGACCACTCCCACAAACCAAAGGACTCTATACTATATTGCTAAAGAAACCTCACACGACACAAATAAATGATTGGCCAACCCCTCTTGCCCCTCAAACATGTCACACCCCGCATTACTAGAAGATTTTCATAGTAGACAACCTATTTTGGATCAACTGCTAAGAGAAAATAACCACTTTAGAAGCCACTTTAGCATGCTCCCAACTCTTCCAAACCATAGAAAGTCTCTGCAAGACCCTCTCTGAACTACATTCCCGTACCCCAAGCAAATTTGGAAGGTTATCATAAACTGACCTTTTAGAAAAGCCCCTAGTTTAATCTGGCTTCCACACCCAAACATCTATCTCCTCCTCCCAAAGAAGAAACACCCACCTTTACCTAAAACTCTAAACCCATACATACCTCACCCAAAAACCCAAAGTACATACACTTAAAATTTATGCTCCGAGATAGAAAATATTCTCACAAAGTGTACACACAAAGAGGTATTCTCCACCTAGACATCATGTCAGAACTTACTCTTTTGGTTGTCATTGACAAACTTAACATAAGATGAGGCAACCCATTTAGACTTATGATCTGGATGAGATCTAATGGGAGAGACATCTTTCCACCAATGAGACACCCTCCTAAAACCTCATATCCCGCCTCCAAAATTAATGTAAAAACCCTGGGCACCATACATAGGTTCGGTACTATCAGCCCTATATGAGGACAAGTCCAAAAGAATCTCCAACCTCCACTTACTTTATAAGGGTAGATTAACAGATCTAACATCTTTCACCCCTAAACCATATGTCCTTTTGACCTTACACACATCCTCCAAATTAAACCACATGACCTTCCCTCCTCATTTCAAACCCCCTAGAAAAACGCCTTTGCAAATCCACCAACTTACAATAAAACGTGACTTGAATCTTCATAAAAGACAAAAATAATAGAGTAATTAAGTTCATAATCAATTTCAAAAGGACCACCCTACCTCCCAAACTCACAATATATTTCAGCAAGAGGCTAATCTCTTATATACTGACTTAACAATATTATCTCAAGTCTGTTTCTTCTACATGTTCGAGCCCATAGGAAGCTCTAAATACCTGAAAAGGAGATAACCAACCTTATAATGAAGAAAGCCTTCTTCCAACTTCAAGAAAGACCTACTCACATTAACCAACAAATGTTTCTTAAAAAAATTCACTTTAAAAACTAATGTAAGCTCGAAGCTTCTGTGAACAACCTTTATCTTTTTCATTTTTTTATTTTAAGAGTACTAGACATACCATCCCTATATAAGGATGATGATCATTAGTAGTTTAGTCATTTGAGAAGAAATAATTCCACATATGTATTAGAATTATTGTCATTGTGGTATACCAAACCCACTACCTTAAACTTTAATTTTGGTGTTTAAGAGTTTCAATTTTAATCTCTCATGGCTATCATGGTACAAACTAACATGTTGCTATACCTAGTAAATTTGTATTAATAGTATTCAATATTATATCATATATATATATTATTATAACTAGTAATCTTCATAACAATAGGGAATATATGTTATTATAATTGGTAATTTTCATAACACTAGGGAGCTTGTTTGGAAAAGGATGAGGATTATGTCGAGATTTTAGCAGTAATTACATAGGAGTGACTATTTGAGAGAAAGTTACTTGTTATTGGCTTATAATTGCTTGTTTTTAAATGATAAGCTCTTGTCTCGTTTCAAGGGTGGGTTCTTTCTTTCTCTCTCTCTCTCTCCCTCTCTCTCTCTCTCTCTCTCTCTCTCTCTATATATATATATATATATATATATATATATATATATATATATATATATTGAATTTTAAATATATTAAAAGAAGATTTTGACAAAATATGATTACTAAATTTATATTACAAATTTTTTTGTAAAATATAATAGAGACAATAATATACATTAATCACATTAACAAATATACATTTCATTTGAAAAGAAAATACATGCATGTAAATGAAAGTGATATTCGTAATTTAAGTTTGCAAATATAAAGTGATTTTTTTTTGTTTTATTTTGATTCTCATGTTTTTTTGCACTTATATTTTATTTAGATATTTTAATTTAATTTGTTAAATATATGTATTTATTTTTAGTGTTAAATAAAATTAAAAGTTTATTTATAATTATTATCAAATAAAATTTTCAATCTTTTTTAAAATTGTTGTCTATTTTATCAAACTTTATAAGATTGTTGCATATTATATTATTTTTTAAGATCAATTTAAAGTGACTTATATTTGAAAATTGTGTAAGAACTATTTTAAAATTAAAAATATTTATTTCAAGTCTTATTTTTATTGCTATAATTTCATGAAAACAAAAAATATTTTATTGTATATGGATTTTGACATCTCTTTTATTTTTGAAATTTGAGAAATATTCTTAATATAAAGAAATATACATAGTTGACGTAATGATTGACTTGTTAAACCATTTTATCCAGAATAAGATAAAAATATTTTATTGTGTTTGATTTGTCTTATATTTTTACGTAGTATTTATTAGTATTTATGACTGAGGGAAACCGTTTATATTCTTTAAAGTAAGATTTCATTAACACCAAACATGTCGGCCAAGACTGTAAAAGTCACAAATAATATGGAAGAAGCAAAAATCACCAAAAATGCCCATGAGAAACATTTTTGGAAAAACCTTAGGAAAATTAATAACACGAAAAACAAAACAATAAATCAGGAGCATCAACATAAACCCACTTACAAGCCAAAATGATTATCGAGGGCATCCAGTGATTTTCACAAAAGTTTTTTCGAGATAATGTAAATTTGCTCCGCATTTTACTAGTTTAGACCACAAAATGTCAGAACAAGACCAAGCATAAAGACACATTTTTCCCATGGCTCCTAAAATCACTATGCCAAAAAAGACTTACGAAAGCGCTTTTTTTGGCCTTTAAAAGCGCTTAAAAGCGCTTTCGTAGGTGGCGCTGCTATAGGTTTTAGCAGCGCTTTTTGTTTAATGAAAAGCGCTTTCGTAGGTCTATCTAAGGCAACACTTTTTTATGAAGAAGCGCTTTCTTAGGCCTTCCTAAGGCGGCGTTTTTTCTGGAAAAGCGCTCTCATAAGTTTTCTTTTAGCAACGCTTTTTTCTGGAAAAGCGCTTTCATAGGTGGTCTTTTAGCAGCGCTTTTGCCTGGAAAAGCGCTGTCATATGTTTACCTTAGACAGCGCTTTTTGTGAAAAAGCGCTTTCATAGGTTACCTAAGGCAACATTTTTCTTGAAAAAGCACTTTCATAGGGTGTTTTTTTTAGAGGTATAATTTATATAATTCATATACCTGCATTGTTTGCAGCATATTATTTATATAAACCAGTTGCCATAACCTGTAATTCATAAACTGCGGTATTGCATTGTATACCATTGTAATCCAAAATATATATACACCATTTTTGTACCTCAAAATATATAAAAACCATTTTTATCAGCATTGTAACTCAAAATCAGTCTTACAAAATCAACCCTAACAACAACTAAACCAGTCCTAATATATGAAAGAAACACGGTCAATTATGTATTAAGGTCCTGGTCCTACGAGGTTTGAACATAATAACACGTTCAATATGGTATTCCATGTACACATGTAACGTATTCATAACACTTTTCACATAATAATGTATTCACACCTTATATGATTCTCTACTCAATAAAATATTGA